GGGCCGCCTCCTGCTCTGGCCGCCGCGTTGTATGGGGCGCGGGCGCTTGGCGCTTTCCAGATATGGTCAAGGCGGCGGCGCTGCTGAGGGAGGGGCGGGCGGCGGGCTGTCGCTGAGTACCGGCACCGGCGGCGGGGCCGGCGGAAGAGGCGGAGGGGGGCGAGGAAGACGCGGCGAAGGAGGAGCGCTCGTTGCCCGGAGCCTGCCGGGGAGCGGCGAGCGAGGCTGTCTGCAGGTAGGGAGCCAGGCAGGCAGGAGCCCCCGAGCCTTTGGTGTCCGGGCGGGGCGGCCCGGAGGAAGCCGGCAGGGAGCAGCCGCCGCGCCAGGGGTGGCTAGGGAGGCGCTCCCGCCCACCTTGCGAGCGCGAGCGGGGCAACATGCTGGCGGAAGGAAGGAAGGGAGGCATGAATGAATGGGTGGATGGATGGATGGATGAGAGGCAGCCATGGCAGGGGCGCGGGCCGGAGGAGCCACCCTTTGCGGCTGCCCTTGTGCGGTCGCGCGCGCGCGGAAAACGCACTTGGTCCCGGGGAGCGCTTCGCCCCGAGGCAGGATGCGTGGCGGTTGCCCGCAGGGCCGAGCCGTTCTGGGAGGGAGGGGAGAGGCCGTGACATGTCCTGGCGTGGATGCCGCTTGGAGGAGGCATTGGGGTGGTGGTTCTGCTTGGAAGGCTCGCGCTCCTCTCTCTCTGCAAACACACCCACCGCCTGCCTGCCTGCCGGTTGGACCTGTGTGGCTCTCCGGGGATGGGAACTTCCCGGGAACTTGTGCTGCCTTTGGCGTGGTTGTCCCCTGCGACCTAGGCGCCCGATCTGTTGCTGCAGTGGGGGCGTGGGAGATTTCTGTAGAGTTTCCAAGCAGGACTGCTGCTCGGGCTAGGCTTCCCTCGCCGCCGGATTCCTTTGGCGTACCCGCGCGGTGACAGTACTGCAGCTGGGCTGATGATGAATGGCCTGGGATGGAAATTTGTATTTCCCTCTTCCGTTGAGGGGAGGGAGGGAAACTAGCATGTCTAGTTCAAATCCACACACACCAGTAACCAGCAGTGCAGGACGTCCACTCCCCCCCCCCAGCCATGGTGGAGATGGGAATGCAGAGTTTAGCCCGTGGTTGGAGTGTCTGAATACTAATAGACAGGGGGGTTTTAAACTGCAGTTTCTAGGCAAACTCCTAAGGAATAGCAATTATTTCTGGATTGGGCGGCTGCAGCAGCTAGGGAAAGCAGAGGATATGCAAAGGTCCAGATCCGGCATGTATATACAGGTCTGGGAGAATATCTGAGTTTGCCTGGTGTGAGAAAGGGAATTCATAGCCTGGAACCCCCTGGCATCTTGCTTCTTTAATCACCCAGAGGAATGGGTTAATTACAAATCATCTGTCAAAAAGGGTCTGCAGTGGAAAATGGTGTCCAAGGAGAGACAGACAGAGGTTATCAGGATCCAGGTGTCTCTTTCTAGCATGGCTACAGAACACACCCACCGAAAGGGATCTCCCTTGCTGGGCCCCTCCCCCTGGTTCCTGTACAGCTTAAGTGTGTTAGTGGTGGTTGGATAGAACACAACTGCATTGGGACTATTTGGGGAGGGGGAGAGCGGGGGCTGCACTCAGTTCTGCCTATAGGGCTGGAGATGGTGATGCATGTGCGTTCTCTTTCCTTGGACCTAGCCAGAGGAGGGTGGGAGAACCAGCTGGGAATGCAAAGGGGGAAGTCTTTCACCATCAATCCCCCCCCATGAATTCTACATAGCTATCTTTTCTTAATTATGACATTGACTTGGATGTGACAAAACGTTAAACCGATCACAGAGCCAGAAGAGAGGGGGGGGGACATAAATGGGCACCCACACCGGCGATCAGTAAATGTGCAAAGCAAGAGCATCACCACGTTTTAACCGAACCGTAGCATCCATGATCGTAAGACTTCAGCTCCTGCACTAACCATGCTGAAGCCCCAGGGTGGTGTTATGCAGAATGCCCCCCTCCCCATGGCTGTAAAAACACGTTAGATGTGCCTGTTTCTAGTGAGATGCTTAAAGTAACAACGGTCCGAGAGCAGCCATGAGAGCCGCTTGAAGCAGGTTGTGGGGGGGGGGGGGGGGGGAGAGGAAGCTCTGCACGTACCAAAACCTGCAGACTTTTGGCATGGTAAGTCACACCTGAAATATCCCTTACTGTATATATTAGTGTTCTGGTGAGCAGGGAGAGAAAGACACATGATGAAGATATAATGAGGAAATAATAATTTCAGCGCATGGTGTGTGTATGTGTAAAGCTTGAGCTAGAAAATGGTCTATCTTGATCAAAGAGGGGAGCAAGTTGAGGGTTAAGTAAGAAATACCTTTCACCACGGGCTCACTCTAATTTTCTCCATTTTCCCACAACAGTTATTCAGTCTGACAAGCAAAAAGGAAACTGCTGCCTTTGTAGTACTTGTTAATTTTGCTTGATTTAGCATGTTTGCTGTTGGATGAAAAATCGATTTTTCTTTTTCCTCCACAGTAAAAGCTCCGGCTTCTTTCCTCCCCCTCTTCCCTTTAGATATTTACTTAAATCTCTTCCTGGGGCAAAGTAAATAATTAGAGACACCTGCAGCGCTGATTGAGTTCTAATTCTCTTTTCGAGCGATGTGGCGTTGGCATTATTAGCAACTTCATTATTGTCAAGAAACACATTGCGTGGGCTTCATCTAGGTGGAGGCATGGCTCTGCATCTCCCCAGTAATTTTAGCTTAATTCTTTAATAGCAGCTTAGTTGATTTTTATCTTGGCTTTGCTGAGCAACCTTTCTGTCAAAGATTTAGGCTAACGGGAAACTGCCAAATACTGTGGTGATCTAGTAAATAGATCTGGGGAGAACCTTTCTCACTCTCTTTTTTTAAAAAGGTGAAAGATATAATAAAACACAGGGGGGATGAGTCTGGATGCATTTCATTTTGCTGCTCTCTTTGTTCTAATTTTATAAACAGTCTGTTCAGATAAATTCAGGTGTGCATGACACCCCCCCTTTCTTTCTCTCTTCTCATCTTTTTTTAATCAGCCGAGCAGTTTAGTGATATTTGTTTCCTGCTTTCCAGCTGCCAGATTCATCTGCAAACTAAGCCTGTTTTATAAACTCCCAAAATGTTTTGCGAAATGGAAGTCTGTTATAGTACTACCCAAATCCACTGTCCCAAGGATTGCCAGACCTCCCACGTCTTTTTGTGTGGCTAGTTGTCCGGTTGCATTCTTCCAGAAAACTCTTCTTGTGGGTGTTCCAGATCCTGGCTTTTCAAATGTCCCCCTACTGAGTCTTCCTCTGTCAGGAAGCAACATCAGGGCTATGTGCTGGGTCAGCCCCACGAGTCTACCTAGCTCAGCATTTTGACAGTGACCAGCCATAACGCCTCAAGGACAAAAGTTGGAAAAATTCCAAGTGCTGAGGATTTCTAGAAGACAGCTGCTGTAACTCCTGGAACTGTAACATAGAATGAATAGGAATCTAAAACATTTCTTAAGCCCTGTGCTCTGCACCCGAAAATTGGATTTTGGCTTCTAGGAATTTGGAATATCGTGGAAGTGGCTATGAAAGTGACATTGCTGCTTGCTATCTGCTGGTTAAGACGTGTACCATTTTAAAAATGAAGGTTATGATTTGGGCTTCTGTGGCCAAAGACAGACAGTTCAGACTACTGTTTTCCTAGGCCTGGGGCAAATAATAATAACATACCATAAAATATAGTATCATAATAGTGTACAATATCTTTTGAATGTCCAGATAACTTCATAAGTGTTCTCTCTTGCCTTTTTTTAAAAAACACACTAACGACGATTTAACAGTCCGATATATGCTAGTTTATTCTGAATTTACACTTGTCTGGGATTAAGTCCCATTGAATGTTGTGGGACTTAATTTCTTAGTAAACATGTTTGGGCTGTCAAATTGAAAGAACAAAACTAAGTATTCTTGGTTGAAGATTAGAATCCATGATGGAAAGATGACAAAGAGGCAAAGGCTTGTGAAAAATAGACTGCTATTCCTGCACTGCTTTCCAGAACCATCTCTTTGTGCAGATGGATCCACTCAGCCCTGCACACCATTCTCCCTTTGATAAAAAGACATGGAGACCCTGTGGGAAAACAGATTCTCTAGCCTCATTGGATTTAACATACGAATTGCACATACCGATTGCGTTTATAGGCAAAGGTAGGCACAGGCAAATGCAGACTCCTCCCTATGCTGCTGCCAACCCCCTACATCTTTCTTTTTTGCAATACAGAGAGTGTCCTGCTGGTCAGGCTATAGAAACTGGACAAGGGCATGCAGTATGTGCTGGAAGTTCCTTGTACTGTGCTCTCCTGTAGACCCAATCAAGCCATTCTTTCTTAGCCTTGGTCTTCCACCTGTAATATAAGAGGAGTAATACTGTCCAACCATTCAGAGTTGCTGTAAGGAGTATTTTGGGGAGGCACCATATATATGCTAACATTACTTATTTTTATTTTCTGCATGGAGGGGTACGGCTAATATCCTCCTGTTTGGTGACAAGGGAGTAGGTATTATTGTCTTGGATCATAAGTAATTATAAATAAGCTTGGCATCAGAAGGAAGATGGTTATGCTCTTTATACTGGTAAACCACTAGGTAATTGGATCACAGTCGTAAGAGGATTCATACTCTCCTTTTTCACAAACTTATGAAGGTCTTGAAGATTTGCAGCAGTGGTGGTAGAACAGAGATATGTTCACCTTCTCTTTGTATGTGAGCTATCTTCATTATATTTAGACCTTTTCAAATGTTATAGTCACACATACCAGGAGTCTCCCGAGCTCATCAAATGGGAGCACATGCTACCTGCCATCCTCCCAATATCGCATGGTCACCATATTGTGTAAACATGGGCAACATGTGTATTTGTCATCCGCATACATCTTTAGTATACATGAATGGACCACTGAATTCTTTCAGGGTTTGCATTCACATGAACCGAGGCTGTATGTGCATGGTAAATACCCCTGTTGCCCAGCATAAACCACTAGTAGAGGTCATCCAGAGATTTGGGCTGAGCTGCCACCAATGTGCAAATGACACTCGGCTCTGTCTCACACTACCAAGGAGGCTGTGGAAACTGTGAGCAGGTGCTTGGAGGCAGTTTTGGAATGGATGAGGGCTAACAAGCTGAAAATTAATCCCAACAAAATGGAGGTGGCTACTGGTGGGGAGGAAGGCCTGATCTGGGAAACGGGTTATCCCCTGTTCTGGATGGGGTTGCACTCCTCCTAAAGGAGTGGGTTCTAAGTTTGGGGATACTCCTGGAAGCTACAGGTAGTAGCAGTGGCCAAGAGTGCCTTTCAGCAGCTCTTCCTGGGTAGAAAAGTTGTTGCCACCATGGTGCATGCCCTG